GAGCGGCACAGCGCGTTGTTGCGCAGCGATCCAGGCTGCTGCTTCCAGCGCACGGTCCATTCTCAAAGTGGCGCAACCAAAAAACTATAATTAGCACACGATCGTTCATGTCTGCACATGTTCTCTATTTTCTGTCTTATTTGTGTCTGCAGCGCTCTGCTACTGCGGAGCTCATCACCTGTGCTGCGGTGATTTCACCTCACGCAGCATCGAAAACGCGCTCTGTGCTTTGTGGTCAGGAGATCCCTTAGATCTGCTCAGAAGTAACTGATGAGGTGAAAAAGTAAGAATCCAGGCAGCAGATTTTCTGGAGAATTAAGAGGAGATGCAGGAAGATGAGAGACAGACAGGACAGGAAAATAGTTAAATAAAAACAAGAAAACAAAACAAAGTGTTGAAAAGTAAAATGTAGATAGATTTATCTCCACTACACGTTTTTACCTATAAAACAATAAGTTATACACATGTAATATTTATAAATTTGATACTATTCAGGTCACCTTCAACACTCAGTCACACACCCAGGGCCGTTTCAAGACATTTTGGGGGCCAAGGCAAAATGCCCCCCCCCCCCCCCAATAACTGGGCTCCCCAGAAGCCTCTGTGTAATTCATACCCTCTCCAGTAGTGTTAGTTATACAGTGTTTATAAAAGCCACTCAGACATTACTGACATGTTCTAATATTATCAGATGAAAAACTAAATTATCAGACATGCTGTCTCATCTGCTTCTTTTCTAAACTTGCAGAAAGTAACAAAACCATTTGAAAGCCACTATTTGTGGATTCTCTGAAAGTTTCCATGGAGTGTGTGACAACTTATTTTTTCAGTCATTTTTGGAAATAGTGATCAATTTTGATTAATTCGCAGCCTATGTTTAATTACATTCAAAAATTAGTTGTTTGACATCCCCAGTTATAATAAATGTCAACAGATGAGATCAAACAAAACAGATGAGAATTGCCCTTAAGCTGTTTAACTTGGACCAAGCATTTTAGGTCACAGATAGATGTAGCTTAGGGTCTCTGTCTATACACCTTATAAGACAATTTAGGTGATGGCATGTTGTTTTTCTGCTATTGAACTGTTTTCTAATAATGTTGTGTTAAATAAAGTGAAGGAAGGAGAGAAATAACGTTTCCCTAGCAGTTTTTAAAAAATTTCCCCATGTTATCCGATTAATCGATTAATCGTGTCGAGACCCCATCCGATTAATCGATTATCCAAATAATCGTTTGTTGCAGCCCTACCTGAGTGTGAACGCGCATGAAGCAGCCTGCCCGACCCGAGCAGCTCTCTTTTTCTGTGATTTTACAGAAAAATAGGCAATCACAGTAAAAATGCCAGGGCTCATTCTACAGGACCAGGGCATTGCAGGAGAATGTATGAAGAAGAAATTTATTATTTCCATACATGTTTTGGCTGTCAAACTTCCATAATGCCCCTTTAAGCATTCAAACTCACCATCATCCCCCGTAGTTGTTGATATTTGGACCATGCCCTTTTGATTTTGGTGTTGTCTTTGTACAACAGACTTGTGGGGCCATACGTAATGTTGTGGTTCTCCATTGCCAGAATTAAAGCCTCGTTCGTGCTGAAGAACACGTGGTTGCTCTCCTCAAAAGATTCCAGGGGGGCAAATAAGCCATTTGGTCACTCGTAAGACTTAAAGTTTACATATCTAAGGAATTGTGTCTCTGCAGTACTAATTTATTCTTAAATTTACTCTGTTTTAAACTGATACCAGGTGTGATTTTCTGTCTAGCCCTAGTTAACTGCAGAGCTTGACGCGTTCCAAAAACGAGTCATTGCAAAAATAGAGCCCAATCCTATCTATAGTGGTGCGACAAGACGGTTCTGGGACGCGCCTGAGCAGTATGTGTCGTGGCTGGTGTGGATTAACTCGTACACGGATTGATTCTCTTTGAAGCAGCAATATATATATATATATATATATATATATATATATATTACCTTTCTCAGTGGCGTAGTGGTAGAGTGTCCGCCCTGGGAGATCAGGGGTTCGATTCCTGGTCGGGTCATACCAAAGACTTTGAAAAGATGGGACCCAATGCCTCCCTGCTTGACACTCAGCATTAAGGGGTTGGATTGGGGGGTTAAACCACCAAATAGTTCCCGAGCGCGGCTTGTCTGCTGCTCACCGCTCCCCAGGGGATGGCTCAAATGCGGAGAACAAATTTCGCACACACACCTGTGTGTGTGACAACTAATGGGACTTTTTATATATATATATATATATATATATATATATATATATATATATATATATATATGTTTACAGTGGGGCAAAAAAGTATTTAGTCAGCCACCGATTGTGCAAGTTCTCCCACTTAAAATGATGACAGAGGTCAGTAATTTTCATCAGGTACACTTCAACTGTGAGAGACAGAATGTGAAAAAAAATCCATGAATTCACATGGCAGGTGTGTGTGCGAAATATGAGGGCTGTCGCAGTTGAGGAATTCCCCCTGCGGTGAGTCAGGGCAGCTCAATATTGCGGTATGCGATATTATTGCACCCCATTTTTATTTATGTACTTAGCAAATTTGTTTAATTACTAAACTCATGGCAATATTTCCTTTGAAACATTGTGCTTACACGTTTAAAAAATGTTAGAAAAAATACATGGCCATTTTTAACACTTTATTGAATGCAGATCAAACAGCAGTAACGGCATTCTCAGACTGAACTTAAAAACAACATTCAGGAGGTTTAACTTTGAAATGCAAATTTGGCTGCAACATCTAACAGAAATTTTTAAAAAGTGTCCGTTTTGTTTTGTGGTTTAACCCTTTGATGCATAATGGTCACTACAGTGGAGAGGTACTCAAAATTGTTATTTATTTTTGCTATTAAGCACAGCTGTTGAAGACTTTATTGCATTTGAGCTCCTCCATTTCGACTTCAGTAAGTCAAGCCGACATATTTCATGTTCAGAATGCACGCTGTCCACTGAGGTGGACATGTAATAAATTATTTGTAAATTAAATGTTACAAAAAATATGTAAATATGAAATTTGTTTCATTCACACCTAAAGATGAATGAAAAAAATTGTTTAAAAAAATCATGGTTGAATATTTCATAATTCATGCATCAAAGGGTTAAAATAAAATATACAAAATGATATGTCCCAGGCACTGTCATTTCACTTTCACACACAAGAATAACTGATTTATAACTCGGTCATGTCCTTGTTACGCGCAAGGAAAACCAGCATGTTAATCTTATGCGGTTTGAGAGAGGATCTGAGAGGGGTGACAACATTTCCAGCGAAACTAAAAAACCCTCTCGGATGGTGCGCTTGTTGCGCAAATACACATGTACTTACGTGCGACTTTGGAGAGCAATGGAAATCTCTCATGGTTGTTGCGCCACCATGTCAGAGGGTTTTCATTAGGGTCAATGGGTTCCTCCTGCAGGTAGAGAGTGAGCTCCAGCTCAGCTCTAACTCTCTTCGGGGCGGTTGCAGAAGACGTCCTTGTCCGTGACTTCAGCAGGTCTCCAGGCGTTTTTTTCTTTGCCGCTGGTGGCAGCACTGCCTGCTCCAAGGTCTCTGGCTGGGCTGCAGCTGACGCACTGGCACCGCTCCCTCCATCTTCCATGTGTACTATCTCCTCGATCAGCGCAGACTTTACCTCTCAGCATGCGCTGTCGCGAGATATAATCAAGTGCGGTAATGGCGGTGGCACGTCATGCAGCGCAGTGGGTTTCTTAATATCGCGATATTTTCTTCTTGCGGTTACCGCGACAGCCCTAATATATATATATATATATATATGTGTGTGTGTGTGTGTGTGTGTATGTATATATATATATATATATATATATATATATATATATACCTAATATATATATATGTGTGTGTGTGTGTGTGTGTGTGTGTGTGTATATATATATATATATATATATATATATATATATATATATATATATATATATACATATACATATATGTATATATATGTGTGTATGTATGTATATATGTGTGTATGTATATATATGTATGTATGTATGTATATATATATATATATATATATATATATATATATATATATATATATATATATATATATAAATGGGCTGCATGGTGGCGCAGTGGTTAGCACTGTTGCCTCATAGCACGAAGGTTGCAGGTTCGAAACTCGGCTGCAGCCTTTCTGCGTGGAGTTGCGTGTTCTCCCCATGCATGTGTGGGTTTCCTCCGGGTACTCCGGTTTCCCCCACGGATCACAACATGCCCTATAGGTTATAAATTGTAAGTCGCTTTGGATAAAAGCGTCTGCTAAATGAATAAACATAAACATATGTATATATAAATATAAATAAATAGAGATATATATATATATTATATATATATATATATATATATAGTGCATGCTGGAAACCATCGCCAGCTGATTCTACCCATGCCAAATATACACACACACACACACATATATATAGACAGATCATCACAATGGCATGTTACAAACAGACTTTTAACTGTATTCCCTATGGACACAATTGGTCTTTAAAATGAGACCATCAGATGGAGAGAGAGGAAGACAAAAAAAGGAGAAATTTCTCACTCATGTCTGTTCGTCTGAAGACTTGCAAATAATACCTGGTGAAGTTGAGAAAATCTGCACACATGTATATTCCAGTTTTTAGTCAATTAATGGATTATTTATATAATATAATAATATTATATAATATAATATTATGTAATATAATATAATATGGTGATACAGTCATGAGTGTTGCACAATCCTTCAAGGAATGTCAGGTTTTCCTTTTGTTGTTCAAGTATTTTGTCCTGATGAAATTAATTTTGTTTTCTGTTTAATAATTTCTAAAGTCTCAGTCTCTAATCCTGGTTCTAATCTGTCCTGTACCTGTAAGGTGAGTTACGAGATGCTGTAAAAAGTGGAGACTACATGGCTGTGAAGTTGGCCTTAAATTCGAAAGAGGACTACAATCTTGAACAGGAGGTATGAGCCCTCTTCTTTAATGTGTTTGTGGAAATGTTCTTTCTTTCATTCGTTCTCCCATCCATTTTCTGGTCTTTTGTGTTTTATTTGCATTTATTCTTCTGTTGCAAAAAAGCGTTTTGATCTCTCAAAAGACAAAAATGAATTTTAGACATTGCACCTTGGTTCCCCCAAATGTTTTGTGTGAAAAATGTTTGAGTCCAATATTAGAGAACATAAATATTTTAATGGTGACTGCACTAAAAAGGATAAAGATACTGTACGTAATCTGAAATTGTGTTCAAATTAAAATGAAGTTAAAAGACAAATAGTGACTAAATAGTTACAAGTGAAAGATGTAGTCTCACCCGTTAATAAATACGAATGTCAGAATTGTTGACTAGTAGTGTATCTTGAAATCTCTTATCATATTATCATAAGTCAGTAACTGTTTTGTTGCTCGGAAATGGTTCCTGTAATTTTACATATTTTGGGGGAATTTTAAATGCAGAAGAGCAAAAGTAAGGGAATGTTTATTCTGGCCACGTCTTGGTGCACGTTCAGATACGTGGCTGATAAATCGTAGTAGGGCTGGGCGACACGGCCTAAAATCAATATCACAGTGTATTGAGGAGTTAGCCTTGATAACATTAAACGGACGATAACTACATGTATGCGCAAAAACAAAAGTTGTCCACTAGATGGGGCTGGTACATGAATTACTTTGAGTCAAGCCGACATGTGACTCGAGGTGGTTCAGCTTTTTATAGGGACATGATTGTCGCCAACCCACACACAGCTTTCCATCTCCCACATGAGAAATGATATCAGAGTTTTCAATTACGATAATTTCGATAATGCTAAGTGCTCGATTTATTGCCTAGTCCTAGATCGTAGGCACATTTTCAAATTGTGCTCCAAGGTTTTCAAGGTCTACATCCAGACTTTACTGTGGGATTCCTCCTAATTAATCATCACCTGATGATGTTTCTTCCAACTCCAAACTATCTTTGCTTCTGACACCAAACCAGGTAAGAATTTTCATGAAAAAAATTTGTGACAAAGAATGATTTATTTTTGAAATATGATAACAGTAATTGGTGGTTTTTGATCTAGCACAACCTGCAGTTATTTAAAAGATAGATTTTAAGGTTAGTTTTTTTAACTTGTGTTTACAGGACCAAAAATGTTTTACTTCAATCCTGAATTGAAATGGATGGTTTACGGGATCTTTGAGAGGTTTTAGATGACTGTCTTTGGCTTGATGATCATTATGTTTTCCCTTAGCTACTAGGCACTGATAGCCATTCCAGTTTAGGTGCTTAATCTTATCAGTCTGCTATACTAGTCTTTTACGTACGTATCAGTTCAGCACTCATTTTCACCAAGTTGTTTTATGAAGGAATTGGGTTATGAAAGAGTGCTATTGCTGTATTTACATGTGTAACTTAAAATGTTTACCTTATTTATGGTATAGCCAAGCCATGTTTTCATGGCACATTTTAGTTTAGTCCAATGTTGGCATCTCCAGCAAGGAAAGGATTCCAATTATTCTTCATTTGCAAATATTCAATGAATGCCTGTGTTTACTTTTTGAACATTGTGTAATTAAACTTTTATGGTATGTTTATTATATATATATATATATATTTATATGTATGTGTAGATATATATATATTTATATATACATATGTATTTATATATATGTATATATATACATATATATGTATTGGCCTTAAAGTGAAATATCAGTAAATATCAATGTTGTGCTTTACTCCTTTAGTGGCCCAACTTTTACATACCATGAACAAATTATACATCAAACTCTTTGACTTCATCTCTTCTCTCTCAAAATATGACAGATCTGAGGTTTAGTTTTTGAGATGTTTTAGTTTAATTTTGCACAACTCGTGAATGATTAGGAATTTGCCCTATATATAGAATCTGCTTTCATTAGAGCAGGTTGCCGTGTGTAGCTAGTGGCTAGCAAACAGCTAAAACAAGCACAAGTATCTTCACCCAAGACTTGCTTTTCTTTAATGAAGATCTTTCAAAATTTTTATCACTGTAACTACAATAAACAGAAACAGGAAAAAAAAGCATTACTGAAGAATACACACATCTTAGCAACGCTCTTAGCAATTAGCCTCGCTTAATATGTGCATGTACACGCTGCTTGCATTTTATCAACGAAGTAACTTTAACACACATCCAAACGTCCCCTAAAGAAATCAATAGTTATAAAGACGAATGTTCTCCAAGGTACAAACGTATAAAGCAAAATTACAGTGATGTGAGCTGTTATCCAATTGTAAATGTAAACACACCGGGAGCGTAGGAAACAGAAACTAAGTCAGTGATAGGTCTGAGTTGTGTGCTCACTCTGTTACATTTCACACAGACAATATTACAAAGATTGTTAAAGACAGAGATTTGTCACTTTGACCCATTTTCAAAACATAAAACATATACATTTTTATCATTAATTCACTTGCTCTATTGATTTAACTTATTAATCAAACTTTTTCCCATCATGAACTTAATAATTTTCTTTGGCTAAAGGCGCCACAGAGCATTAGTCAGTTCTCTCTAACTAACTTAAATAGAAGTAGTTGCAGTTTTGCACAGCTAATGTTTGAACATAAGCATGCATGATGGGAAATATGTGATTTTAGTAACCTAAATGATTTGTTCTTTTCTTTCTTTGTACAAGGGAGGACCCTGCGTATATCTGTATCGGTTTACATCGGCATTGGAAATAAGGAGTTAGGCAATATCAAATTTTTGTTTAAAAAGTCCCATATCGAGCATATTAATATATCTATAGCTGTGTGTGTGCATGCATGTGTGTGTTTATGTTCATATATGTTTGAATATCATAGACTATTATGGTTTTTTATTTTTTTTTTATTTTATTTTATTTTTTTCATTTTCTTTGCAGTGCACAGGCCAGTCAAGGAAGATAATTACACACAATAAGTGTCTGGACAAGAAGAACCATTTTAAAGCAGGTACATAATGGATGAGATTTCCAAACATGTAACATTATATATTCATACTTTCCATGTGTAGTAATGTATGCAGCATGCTTGACTTTTTATTGTGGTGTTGAGATTATATTATTATTCAAAAACACTTTTAAGTTAGAAATTTTGTAGAGCTGGACATAGCGCAGGTGTCCCCTGTGTTTAGGACAATCTCCTGCCATACCTGTTCATTAAATATCAGTGCACATTCTGTCCACTGCATGTTGCATCTCATCCAACACACCACGATTACTCAGTTAGACATTCATACTGTCAAAACTATTCTTGATCCAATAAAGCCATTAACTACTCTTAAATGGGTCACATGTGGTTTTTGTGCTGAAGATTGGGGCTTTGATGCAAATGCTGAGCTAAATATCAATGTATGTCCAACATGCCAACCTTTATTTGAATGAGCCTAGACTTTAATGGGGGTTTGCCAAGGTGCTGAGGTGTTAAAGGAGAAATGTAAAAGTGTACAATGCTTTATAAAAGGAGCACAAAAAAACTACCAAAAAGAATTAAAAAAAAACACCACGTAATCAAAATTTAGAACCATTAAAAATTTTATCCCACCCTCACTTTTTATTTTGTGAGACATCTGTTGACTTAAATCTAATTATTTATGAGATCTGATTTGGCAATGAGTCTTACATATACTTGTTCTTTTACAGGCATGTTCTGTTGATGAAAGGAGATCATTTGAAGGAGAAAGGAGCTTGATTGAAGAGCGAAGTTCAAATGGTCCTCTTACACTAACTTCTAATATTGACAATGCAAGAAATGAAGACAGTTTTCCAGCCGCAGCAAATATTAATGTCCCTCAAGATTTGGACTGTCCAAAGAGTGACACAATTCCAAGCTGTCCTGCCAGTACAAACACTAACAAAGTGACAATAGAAGAATATGGAAATATACAAGAAAGTGACAGTGACATAATAAATTCCAAAGAAATAGCATATGATACAACCATCACACAGATAAGTCAAGAGGAGGAAAACCAGCAGACAGCAGAAACAAATAACTCTTTCAACGTTTATTCAGCATTAAGTGGAAATAAAGATGAGATTGAACAAGATCAAGATGATGGAACCGAACCAAAGAGCATGGCTGCAATACTTAAATCTGCTAAACAAGCAAGTGACTTGAGTAATGAGGGAGAATGTGTATTGTTTGATAACTCAAATACAGATACTCAAAACACAGTTCAAGTTTCTTCTACGTCGAGCACTGAAGAGATGGTTAAAAATTCGCATCACTGGAAGAAAACTACAGAGACCGGACAAGAAATACCATCAAGTTTAAAGACCTGTAAAAACATTCTTGAGACCAAGCCCACCAAAGAAGATAAAAACATTAAGAAACCCTCCATAAAGCACTTCTGTTTTTATTGCAAAATGGCCTTTAATCAACTTGCTAAGCATTTAGAGAATGACCATTCAGGAGAAATTGACGTTGCCCACGCGATACGTTTCCCCAAAGGTTCCAAAGTCAGACAGACGTTACTTGATCAGATTTGCAACAAAGGAGATTATGAACATTATTGCAAAGTTGTTAAAAGTGGTGAAGGAGAAATTTTGGTGAATGAGGCAAAGAAACAAAGCATTTCTGTGTGTGATTTCTTGCCTTGCAAGTATTGTTTTGCATTTTATCGCAAAATTGATTTATGGAGACACGAGCAGTCTTGTAAGGTTAGAAAGGAAGATCAGAAATGCTGTGAAAAGACAAATGAAACCACGGCGGATAGTTCCTCCTGTTTGCTTCCAGTGTCAGAGTTCTTGACGGGAAGCTGCAAAGAAATCATCAATGTCATGCATCAAGATGACATTGCAAGACATATTGGTCTTGACCCACTTATTTGTAAATATGGAACTGCATTATCTACTAAGTATAACAATGACCAGTCTCAGTTTGCTTACATTGCACAAAAGATGAGGGAGTTGGGTAGATTTGTGCTTGCTGTTAATGAGCTTGACAGGAGCGTGAAGTACTTGCATGAAATATGTCTACCATCCAAATTTGAATTGGCTATTGAAGGAGTCAAAAAAGTGAGTGGGTTTGACCCCTGTTCTAGTAAGTTTAAAACCATTTCCCTTGTCTCAAAGATTGGCTACTCCTTGAAGCGTGCAGCAGAAATAGCTTTTGGTGAAAGTCGCATGAAAGAGGACAGTGAAACAGAGAGTGAAATTAAACAATTCATACATCTACTTGATACAAAATGGAGTAAAAGTTTTAGTCATAAAGCACTTTCCAATTCCTTTAAACAAGGGGTCAAAAAAGTGGAAGTAGACAAATCAACTGTGACAGAAGATTTGATGAAACTCCACAGATTTGTTACAGGGGAAGAGAATGAAGCAAGGAATGAACTGAAAGAAAGGCCCAGTTTGTCAACATGGAAAAAGCTCAGCGAAGCTACTTTAGCAAATGTGTGTCTCTTCAACAGGGGAAGAGTAGGAAATATTGGCAGACTTCTGTTGAAAACATATACTGAAAGAAAAAGTAGAGGAACATTTATACCTTCCTCAGATCAAGTAAAGAAAAGCACAAAATTAGAGTCTGATCTTAGTTCTAGATTTACAATTCTTGAACTAGAAGGTCAGTATGGACGGAATATGTTGGTTATGCTAACGGCCAGGATGGTTTCATCAATCGACTTGCTTGTTGAAAACCGAGAGCGAGCAGGGGTGTCTAAAACCAATCCATACCTGTTTGCAAGAACTGAAGGTCCATCGTTCATCAGAGGATTGGATTGTTTTCGGAGATCTGCCGTGGAATGTGGAGTAAAAAATCCAGGAGCACTTCTATCTTCATCCTTAAGAGAACAAATCGCATGCTGTTGGCAGTTAATGAGCCTTAGTGAACCTGAATTAGATCACATGGCAAATATGTTGGGATGGAGCAGCCTAAGTTACAATCTTTCCCGAAATGCATTCCAGTTGGAGGAAGTGAGCAAACAGCTGTTGAAAATGGATCAAGCACTGCCACCAAGTTCACCAAACACTACTAAAGATGGTAAGTATATCAATCTTAGTTACATTATATTATGATGTTTCTGACTTTGAATAATTATAAAAACCTAATAAAACAGCAGAATTGTGGTACATCCCACTTAAAGTACAGTAATATACTTTGCTAAAGTAACATTTGGGGTTCCTACTACTGCAGCTAGACTCATTTCTGAGAATGGAGTGTGCATAAACTTTAACCCTATGCATGTTTTCATACCCTATATCCCATTTAGATTATGTCATCATCTTAAAATTTTGCTTCTTACCTTGAAAGAGTAAGATTCATAAGCCACTGCAGCACTGGGCTTCAACTGTTGGTGAGAAACAGGTTAGGTTTAGGTACAAAGAAATGAGAATTGACTTTGGAAGGGTTGGTCACAAATGAATGACTGGAATTAAGATGAACTGCAGATAAATTGAGACATTGTGTCTATTTGTTTCCAATTAGCCCAAATCTATAACCATAAAAAAACGCTTTTCACAAAAGTGTTGTATATTCAGCGGTTCTAACAGATAATCAACAAATTTTTTCAAGTATTTTGTCTTAACCTCCTGAGACCCGAATTTGCAATTAGTTGACTCATAAACTTGAACAAATTTTTTTAATACAAACTTTGACACATCTACAACAACAAAATGTTTTAATACAAACTTTGACAAATCTACAACAACAACAACAAAATTTTTAAATCTTAAAAAAAGTTTTAAGTTCCACTAGTTGTATTTGTTTTCCGCACTTGACCCATCTCCTTTGGGAGCAATGAGCAGCAGACAAAGAGGCATTGGTCCCATTTTTTTCAAGGTCTTTGGTATGGCCCGACTGGGATTTGAATCCTGATCTCCCAGGCCCAGGGCGGACTCTCAAACCACTATGCCACTGAGCTGGTGTAGGTTGAATTTGAAGAGAATAATACTATATAGTACAAGAAGTCAGTGTCCACATATGTGGACACAGTCTTATGAGGTTAACATAACTAGCTTCCAACAGTTGCAGCCCTGTTGCCTAACTAAATGCAAAAACTTCAATGAAATTTTTTTTTGTTTGATTACGTTTTATAGTCATTTTTAATGCTTTTATTTTATTTTTTAGGGACTCGACAAAAACCAGCTTTAAAAAGAAAACCCTGGAATGAGATGGAACAGTCTGCTGTGAAACGCTACTTGAGTGACTTTATCACAAGGATGAAAGTTCCAGGCAAAAAAGAATGCAACGCTTGCATAGCTGCTGAACCAGACCTTGGGGGAAGATCTTGGACTGATGTCAAAAACTATGTACACAACACGTTACAAACAATTCGTAGGAGAAATAACCAGCAAACACCTGGTGGGAATAATAGTGTTTTGAGTTCAAAGAGTGTAAAAGCTTCAGTGTTAACCAAAAATGCAGAAGGGGAAAACACAAGTGATGTGAGTACTATGGCAATAGTGAATCCGGATCACCTGCTGGAAAGTTGTATGAGCATGCCATCGCCAACCAATATGAACAGTTCATCACCATACCCTCAAGACATGACTGCAAGTTATTCGTGCTTGGGTTCCACAAGTAGAGATGTTCTCTATACAGGTCAACCACTGATTTCTACCTTTTCACCACTGAATGCTACTGATACTCAAGTGGTTCCTACATTTACTCCACACAACACTACAAATACACTAATTCCTCATGTATACACTTCAGAAAACAGCAAAAATTTCTCAATGTCATCTTTGTATACGCAGAATGCCACATGTATATTCCCCCCCTCTGTTTTTACCCCACAAGACACCACAAGTTCACCTATGATTCCTTCTTTTACTAAATTTAATGTTCCTTCTACTTCAATGGTTCCTACATACACACAATTAAATACTCCAAGTACACCAATAGTTTCTGCATTTTTAGCACTAAATGACAGAAGTTTACCTATCATGTCTTCATTCACACCTCTGAATCATTCAAATGTTTCAGCCTTCCACACAAGCCCCCTTAAGGACCCTACAACTGCACAGGTTGTTCCCTCAGTTCATGGACACAGTGTTACTGTAAATGCACTGGTGGTGCAGGAAAGCACACCAGTGTCTTCTCCAGGTAAAAAAGCTGCTCATGGTGAAAAACCTCAAAAAAGAACCAAGAGATTGTGGACTGAGGAGGAACAGGCGGCAGTGAGACGTCAACTTGGAGAGTTTTGCATGTTGGTGAAAGTGCCAGGAAAAAAGGATTGTGACGCATGCTTAGCTGCTGAGCCTGCCCTCAGCACCAGGACATGGAGGGAAGTCAAATACTTTGTACATAACTCCATTCAGTCACTTAAAAGAAGAGGCCATGTAGTCGCCTCTAAAAAAAGTGGACCACAGGAACTGGAAACTCAGTCTTCCAGTGCAGAGTGGGATGCTCCTGTGTACCTGTCACTGTAATGAATTAAATTGGACTTGCACAAACGACTGAGCACGAATGAAGGAATGATGCATTTAATAAGGGATTTTATGAAAACTGTCTTAGTTGCCTGTTGGGTTTCTCGTGTACAGACAACTCTGCCGTACTTTAAGTTATAGACCTTTTTCAGTGTCCTCGTGTGTTTAAAAACAAATCCAGTGGATCAAGCTTTTTGTTGCATGGATGTACACCAAATGAGTGAAAGAAATTATTTTTGTACTGACGTCTGGACTCAATGGGAGCAGACTTGTTAAATTTGGCTAGCTTGCACTGTTAATCTTCCAGACCACTACAAATAATAATCTGGTAAGTGTCATAAAAATATCATTAATTTTATTTCTGGAGTTAAACAGTACATCTATTTGTATCCGTTACTTATTAGTAGTCCATTTATAATCACAGTTGAAGTCATGACTACAGGGGTTTCCTGTCCTCTTCTTGTGATGGGCTCTTACTCAACATACACAACTGAAAAGTAAGCTTGACCAGTTGTACTGTATTATGGCTTTTACTAGTTGCGTGTTCTATAGGTAGCTGTTATAACTTTTTCCATATGTTTAAATGTTGAAGTGTTGTGTGTTTACCTGTTACCAGAGGGTAGAAAAATGTTTGCTTCCTCTAGGGTTCATAATACTAACCTGTCTGTGATTATCATTGGTCCCTATTTGTGTCATTAAGCTTTTTGTAACACTAGACGCAGCCTGTAAAGGACACCGTTTGTTTCTGCGTACGAGTGGAGCTTGTTTGAGGTTACGTGTGTTCTTATTTGAATGACGTCATTTAAATTTTTATGGTCCAGGTATTTGTCATCAAAGTTGAGTTGCTTTTTAAGTTTGTGTTTTCTGTATATAAAAATATTTTCCTTGCCATCCAACGTGACCTAAGCATAAAATGTTAGTTTTCATTTTAATGTACAAACTTGTTACTAAACATTGATTCAAAGGTGTAAGCCGTGATTAGGCACAACCTTTTGACCAATGGTCATTTCACCCAAACTAGTGACTGATGTCTAATTTAATAAATGTGCTTTTTTTATTCAACCTTCTCATAATGCATTTGTGATTGTTATTGAGTTATTTAGCATATAAATGTGTTATTTAGAAATCTAACACAGGTTCAGCTTACATCGTCCATAACAGGACTTGAGCCCTTTTTACTAGTTTTAGTGTGATTTATCTGACCAGAGCTTTTTTTAATGCTGGATATTCAGCAAGGCACAAATTTTCTTGGAATCACAGAGGATCATTAATTCATATGTTTTATGTATTGTTTTATACCAAAGTCATTAGTATCACCTGTTCTTAAATCTGAGGATCGTTGGAGATCTGAGTTAAGTTATTTCATTCCAACAGAAGCCTTATTGGATTCTCTGTCGTCGCGTTGTGTAAAAGTGTTCACCTGTGTTACATATTCAGCATCTAGCAGTTGTATGTGGGGAAGATGTCATTGCTTTTTGGAGTAACAAAAGTTTTATTTTTTTCAGCGTTCGTAGTGATTTATTTTTAGACCACTGCTCTTGCACACGTCGCTCTTCAACTTGTTTACTGTGTGTTGTTTTAGTTCATTCTCGACTGTAAGGAGTTCATAACTTTTGTTTCAACAATATAAGTTTGAAACTTACTTGAGAATATTGTTTCAGCTTCCACAGGTCTAAAGTGTCCCTGTGAAAACTTATAGCTAAAGCAGTGCTAACATTTTGGCAAACGTCAGTTTTTTTTAAATCTCATGAACTGATTTTAATGAACCTCGCAGGAAGTAAACATTAGACACACATCTGCGTCAGATTCCGCACAATTGAGTGCTAACAGATATCACACGTAACTGTTTTCAAAAGTTGTTAAAAACGCTATAAAATTATCTCAAGAGTTGCTCATCCTTTAGTCAGAATATATATCCATATTTTATATCAAAGTAAAAATAAATGATATCTTGTGAACTAGGGATGTGTATTGGTGAAATTCTGGCGATACAATACGTATTACGATACAGGGGAGACGCTACAGCATATCACGACATATTGCGATACATTCAGTCAGACGATATTGGCGATTTTTTAGACTAAATTTATTATAGGAAAATTCAATAAACAGTCCAAACTGATACTTAACATGTTTAACCATAACAGAGGGATATACATTTCAATGGCAGAAACAAAACCCATTACACACTGCTGCTAACTAGTGGTCGGCGTTTGAATTGCACCATAAGAAAAGAAAATACACAAATGTTTCCATGTAAATTCTTCCAAAAATTAGATAGATGACTTTTGAATATCAATACATTTTTGCAAGAAAAAATATCACGATATACTGCCATATCAATATTTTTGATACACAGCTTTTGAATATCAATATAATATTGCTGGTGAAAATATCACGATATATTGCGATATCGATATTTTCGATACACAGCTTTTGAATATTGATATATATCGCTGGGGAAAATATCACGATATATTGCCATAATTGACATTTTCTTACATCTCTATTGTGAACCCTTCTGGGTGCTTTTGTGTCTGTTTGTTACAGGATGTCAGTGGCATGTCATTGTGCATGCTTGCAGCAGCCGGGGGACAGGATGACATCTTGAGGCTGCTGATAAAGAAAGGAGTGAGAGTGAATGCGAGGCAGAAGAACGGTACCACTGCTCTCATGCATGCTGCAGAAAAGGTAAAGCAACCGGAATCATGTTTTACTTACAGGTTTAAATGAGTACCGTAATTTCCGGACTATAGAGCGCACCTCAGTATTAGCCACACCGGGCTAATAAAAGCTGCAGATATCTATTGAATTGAAAACGTAGTTTAACTGAACTTAACTTAACTAATCAGTATCAAACACAACAGAAAAGTTATTGATTAGTTTATTCATCGTCCTCCTGTGCACTGAAACCACTGAAGTCCTCTTCTTCAGTGTCGGAGTAGAACAGCCTCAGAAGAGCTTCGTCACATACCTTTTCTGTGGCGATGCCAGTGTCGCTCTCCGTGTTGCTGTCATCATCCCGGGGTGAAGCTGGGAAAACAAGCAGCGCCGTTTTACTGTGAAAAAAATCCTCCTGGGCGCTTTCCATAGCACTCCTCTAACCATTCCTTCATTAGACTTTCCAGCATCCATCCTTTCTGGTTTACTGGTTTATGCTTGACACATTTACTTTCTGCTTGGTGATGCGGCTCGCAGATGGAACGCGCTTCACAACTTGCAGCATTTATGGTTCATGCGGCTTGTTTCTGCGGTGAGCCAATATTCTCCCAAACTGTAGGGGGCAGCATGGAGCTCTACGGCATGCATCCAACACTACACCATAGTAGAAGTAAAAATTACTATTGTTTACAACATAGCATTCCAGCATTTTTTTAACAGCGTCCTCGTCTTTTCCGACAGTGCGAGCTATTTCTCTCCAAGAATTATTAAGAACATGTTGATCACGGTGATCTTTGAGAGCTGAATCATACAAATGTCTGTATTTAGGAACCTCTGCCATACTAGTTCTTGCCAGTCCGCCATGTTTTTCCACGTCCGACCGTCCGCGTGGTTAGAAAATTTCCTAGGTGCGCGGTGCGGAAAGTTTTGGCCGTACGGAGGCGCGATGGAGGGGCGTGGTTGTTAAAATGACGCAATTTTGCCGCGCGAACTTCGCGGACGTGTCAAGCATAAACCAAGCTTAAAGTCGCACCTCATTATAAGCCACATGGTTCAAAGCATGGGAAAAAGTAGCAGCTTATATTCCGGAAAATACGGTAACTTTTTCTATTAAACCTGTGTTTAAATTTAAATCCAAATGAATACAAATATGAAAACAGAATTTTGGTTATTTATCTTGTTTGGTTTGTTTTGAGGATTTAGAAAGGAAATGCATACGTGTGCCTCATTTTTCTGTGTGGTCTATTTTTCTCACTCTTCTTCACTTTGCTTCAGAACTTCTTGACAACGGTTGCCATCCTGTTGGAGGCAGGCTCATGTGTGAATGCTCAGACTCTGGGAGGGGAAACGGCACTGATGAAGGTAACAAATCTCCACTTTCACTTTATGATTTTTTATCTCCATAAAACTTGATCTACGTCAGTCAGGCAGATATTACTAAGGCAAAATGTGATTGTGGGGTCTACGTCTTGTTTCTGTTTGCCCATACCATACCAACTTTATTTATAAAACACATTTAAAAACGGCATGGCAGCCGACCAAAGTGCTGTACAGAATAAAAAGTAAAAACACAATATATATTAAAAAAAAACACGGTTAACAATTAAAACACACAACAAAGCAGATAATCACGGTTAATAAAAAGACACATAGTAAAGTGATAAAAGTCATGTATTTAAAAATGCCTGGTCGTAAAAGTGAGCCTTAAGTAGCGACTTGAACCGGAGGAGGGATGGTGTCAGCCTCACTGAAAGAGGAAAAGCAGTCCAGAGTGTCGGAGCAGCATAGACAAAAGCACGCTGCCCCCGCGTTTTGTATTTCATTGTTGGAACACGAAGCAGCAGGCAATCAGCAGACCTCAACGCCCGGTTTGGCACATAACGAGTGACAAGATCAGACAGGTAATCCGGAGCCAGACCGTTCAGGGCCTTAAAAACAAAAGTCAGGATTTTAAACTTGACTCTGAAGTTTACGGGTAGCCAGTGGAGCTGCGCCAGTATAGGTGTGATATGGTCTCTTCTAGGGGTGTTTGTTAAAAACCTGGCTGCCGCGTTCTGTACGACCTGAAGCCTGTTAAGAGCGGAGGCAGGTAAACCAATTAAAATGGAATTTGCGTAATCCAGTCGGTAGATGATAAAAGCATGAATTGCGGATTCCAGGTGTGCTCGTTTCAGGATCGGTTTTAAGCGAACTAGTCTGCGCAGCTGGTAAAAACACGATCTGACCACTGCGTTAATCTGAGGGGGCCCATGAAAAAGTGTGTATCCAGTTTCACCCCCAGGTTGGTAATAGGGCTGCAACAACGAATCGATAAATTCGATGAAAATCGATTACTAAAAGCGTTGGCAACGAATTGCGTCATCGATTCGTTGTGTTGCGCAACTCTTCCAAAAGCCCCCTCCCCTCCTGCCCGCCGTTGCGCGCAGACCGGTGGAGAGCCGGCAGGTGTTTGTAAGAGGAACATGGCAGAAGCAGCGAGACCCCAAAAAAGTAAAAACTTCTAAAGTTTGGGAGCATTTTCAGTTAAATCAGGCGAAGACATGCAACGTTTGTAGGTCAGACTTAGCATGGCACGGGGATACTACGGTGATGATGCAGCGTCTTAAACGCAAGCATGTCAGAATCATCAGCAAGGAAGGAGAGAGCTCGGTGTCCGGGTAAGTAAAAAACTTTTCAAAAGTGATTCACCCAAGCCCCGGATTATTACACAGGCTAGACATGCCCTAAGCTCGTAAAAAAAAGTCTATAAAATTGTAAGCGCGACGCTATTAGATAGGCGGGGGGGGACTCGCGCCGCTGCGAACCGGTTCCGCTGTCACATTCCTGCAGAAACTGGTTGATCACACCGGGGCCAGACTACTAACATGTGGCTTTACAACCACAGTGTCCTCACAAACGAAAACGCTTTTAAAAGGGAGGGAGGAGTCCTAACTGTTGCTGCAGGCGTGTTGTGTGCGTGTAGTTATATACTGGTTAATATATTTTTGGGTTCAGTTGCTTTCATGTGTCCTAATGTGAGTCTATTTGGGATCATTGGAATGATCAGCAGCATCTCTTGATGTGACTTTATGGCAGTTGCCCAGGGCATCATCACAAGGAGAATGGCATTCATTTACTTTTGTTTTATTTGGTATTTTTCAGTCATTTTTGGAAATAGTGATTAATTCACAGCCTATGTTTAATTTCATTTAAAAATTAGTTGTTTGACATCCCCAATTATAATAAATGTCTACAGATGAGATCAAACAAAACAGATGAGAATTGCCCTTAAAAAGCAAGTCACCCCCAAATAAACTTTTTTTTGCTGATAAACTAAATAAACGAGTGTCTAATCGTGCTGCAGACACGTGTCGTCAATAATTTGGCACTTCAGTGCATCTTAGTTAAAATTTAAATATTCTGCCTAAAACTGGCAGTGTTGTGCCGTTGTCAGGTAAAAACTCTGCACTGTATTTTAATTTAAATCTGCCACCGCTATTGGCTAAGAAGTATGCTATGATGTAAACTGGTACATTATGATGTCACAATGCTGTCGTGAGCCTGAGTGTGTGTGTATTTGTTAGCGGCTCCGCCCTCTCGGTCTGCCAGGCAACAGCATGTGTTGCATTTTTCAAACATGAAGCAGGAGTGGAGTTAGACTCTGGTAGGGGTTGACTTGCTCTTTAAGCTGTTTAACTTGGACCAAGCATTTTAGGTCACAGATAGATGTAGCTTAAGGTCTCCCTAGCAGTTTTAAAAAATGTCCCTATGTAATCCGATTAATCTATTAATCGTGTCGAGACCCCATCCGATTAATCGATTATCCATATAATCGTTTGTTGCAGCCCTAGTTGGTAACACACTGCTTGAGGTCATATGGGAGAGTGTCCAAATCAGAGGATAAGTGTGTGGTTTTGTTAGGGGTCATCAGGAGTGCCTCAGACTTAGTCATTCAGCTTCAGGTAATTGTTGGCAAGCCAAACCCTCACTTCAGCCAAACATTGGTCCAGAAGAGAGAGGGAGCCTGGTTTGTTCAAAGCCAGGTAGATCTGGCAATCATCTGCATAAAAATATCTGTAGACATGATCGTAAATGTCAGTGGTTCATAACTTCCAGGAAGTTTGCTGCCTTGAACACAAGTCAAAGTGACATTAACTGTTTTCTGTTGAGTCGCTTGTGGCAAAAATAAACATTAAAATTTTCTACTTGGAACAAAATTTCAAAATTTCTTTGATTCTTTGGATAAATATTGTTGTGTTAGTGGGCAAACAAGAATGTCAATAAAAGTCAAAAAGATCCCTTTGAGTTTCTGCAGTAAATGTATTTTCTTGTGCCAGGCTTGCAAAAGAGGAAATGCTGATATAGTGCGCCTCCTGCTGGAATACGGTGCGGACTGCAACATCCTGTCCAAACACAAGAACAACGCTTTGTACTTCGCCAATTTAAGCAAAAACCTGCTGGTGTGTGACCTGGTAAAGGACCATATTAGCATGTAAGTGCTAGTTGCAGCTCTCATAAACACCTATCGCTTACCAAGGGAGGGGTGTCAAATCCAGCAGCTCACTTTCTGACAGAGGAGGTTTTATTTGCTTAAATGAAAAAATAAAACTGATCTCCATAAACTTTAGAATGAATGGACTCTACTTTAAGTTGATGATGCTTGTTTTTGCCCTTCAGGCTGTCAAGTGTGGCAGAGGACACAATTCGAGCCTATTTCGAGTGCCGTCTGGTACTGCTAGAGCCCATCTTCCCTCTGGCGTGCCACAGACTTTGTGAAGGACCCGACTTCTCCATGGAGTTTGGCTTCAAAGCACAACCCCAAGCAGAGAGTAATACTCCTGTTCCTCCTAACACCTGGTCACATTTCTAAATATAAACATCTCCATAGAGTAACTTGTTGTTGAGCCAAATTTTAAAGCAAGATAAAAAATGTCCTAAGATCTGTGTGTGAAACAGTTCTTTGTTTTTCCCACAATGCCTCTGTTCCAACGTACTTCCCAAGGCTCAGGGATCTTGCTCTTCATCTTTCACGCCAACTTCCTGAATGAGATCACAGCCAGGCTCTGTGGACCCTGCAGCGTTCATGCTGTTGTGCTCAACGACAAGTTCCAGCTGCCCATTTTCCTGGTGGGTTCAAAACCAACAGATTTGTTAAATAAGTACTTTCAATCGTGACTTCCTTGCATTGTCATTTCAATCTCATCGGTAAATAGAAATTCCTAATTTTGCTAAACTCTTATATCTTTAATAAACTAAACAAACATTCACGATCAGCTGTTTTGCTTCTGTCGCACGTGTCCGATCTCTACGTGTTCTTGAAGTTTTCTTCTCTTTTCTACTGAAGTGGTAATGTGCTTGTTTGTTTTTGTTTTGTTTGAAATATTCCAGGACAGCCACTTCATCTACTCCTTCAGCCCAGTTCCAGGCATCAACAAGCTCTTCATCCGTCTGGCTGAGGCGCCAACAGCAAAGGTGACAAACACACAGTAAACATTTAGGCATCAACAAATCCAGCTCTAACCGAGCTATTATACAAGTGCTATGAAATTCAAGAGACGGGCTTCTTCATTACTTTATATTCTGGACTAGCCGTTAGCTCATCAGTCCTGTCAGAGTAAACTATTTTCTCAAACAAAGGCTGTTCCTGGAGCTATGTACCACAGGTGAGGTGGTAATCATTTATAACTTCTTTCATCCCATTTTATCCGTTCCTGTGGCGGCGTTACTCTACCAGCGACCCCAGTGGTGTCATGTTCTGTGTCCTTTTGTTCCCCAGCCCCCTCCTGTTCCCATTCCAGGCTCTCCTCTTGTGTCCTCCTAGTCACTCCCTGGTTTTCCTAGTTGTCTTTAGATTAGTTCTCCTCACCCATCTGGTTGTTAGTGGTTTATTTTTGCCCTCTGTCTTTTAGGTTTAGTTAAATCCATGTTTTATAGGTTAATGTTTATCTCCCATCCTGTTTAGCTCTTTCCCTTCCCATTTAGTTAATTGGTTCCACCAGTTTCTCCTCGGCGCACACTCCTCACACCTATCACCTGTTTCCCTGATTACCTCCCTCTGTGTTTTAAAGCCTTGTCTTGACACCCTGTTTGTTGGTTCATTGCATTCGTCAGCGTGTTTCTGTCCTCCTCGTGTCTTCCTACTCTGTGCTCACGAATGAGTTTGTTTGTTTTTGGTAAGATTCAGTTTGGTTTGTTTTTTAGTGCCTTTTGGACTTTGGCACATCCTCCTTTAAAATAAGACTTCTCCTGCCTTGAGTCATTCTGGGTTCTGCATTTTGGTTTCCACCTCCTCCATCCTGACCGTGACAAGTGGGAAGAGTTACAAACGTGACCTTTTTGACCTTGGCACAGTCCAGTTCAAACTCAGAACATTTCTCCTTTTCCTGGCTGCATCAACAATCCACCAGAAATAACAGCCTCCGTGTTCCCGTTAAAGCCCTAACATGTCATGTGACATTTCTCTCCAGCTGCAACTTCAGCTCAAACTTCTGTTCATAAAGATATCTATAAATAAAGTTATGGAAACGTCTAAGAATCAGACAAAGTAGTTCAGTCTGAGATCAAAGGGCTGCAGGAAGGAGATGTTTATGTTTGTCTGGGTTGTCAGTAGGGGTGATCAGTTTCCACGTTGAACATCTTTCTTCTTAAAATAGTCCATGAAAAGATCTGAACATGATTTTTATACATTTCATAGAAGGCATTTAATCCATCAGCAACAACTAGTCTGTTAGATGTTTGTGACATCGCTAAACCCGTTTTCCTTCCCCGTCTTCAGGTGAAGCTGCTCATCAGTGCATACAGAGTGCAGCTGCAGTAACAATCACTACAGGTCACGTCCAACGTGCTGGAGCTCAGATCTGCTCCAGAGCACAAACCTGAAGAACCACCAGGTCGTCTGGCCTTTGATGGAGGTCTGTAGGTGCTGGGTGGAAGGACAGAGTCAGACACCTCGTTTCCCACTTCAGCAGCTCTCCTCTATAGACTGAAGCCCTCCTGTGTCGTGCCTTTCTCTGACTTCCTCCTGCTGATGACGGTGAAGATAAATGTGTGTGTGTGTGTGTGCGCGCACGTGTGTGTGACTCTTCATGACATTTGTTCCATTTTTAGTATTTTACCTAAATAAAAACAACTTTATCATTCTTGATGTTAATTTTAACAACATTATTCGAATGGAATAGCTTTGGGAAATGTCAGTGGAGTTTTTCAGTCCTTTTTAAAAAGTTGAAATGAGGTAACAAGTTTTTTTTTTTTTTTTTTTTTTTTACTTTTATTTTTATTCTGCCCTAATTGATTTAAATGTGTCTAACTCCGCCCAGGATGTGGGAAGGCCTCTGCATCTTAAATCACAACAGAGAAGCAAAAGGTGCTGATCAGTTGGGTGTCTCCTGTACCGCATGTTCCTACACAACTACAGTTCTTTTACAGTTTTAGTGAATTCCTCCATTTGTTGTGTCTTCTGTGCACAGTTTTTTTTATATGTATTTTCTGGTTTGTAAATATTCACATACTAAATATAAGTATATACATACATGTATACAGTTAGTGTCATGTGATGACTGCTAATGTTTGCTTCTTTTGCCGCTGTAGAGGTAATTTATTTTGTCCGGGAAAAGGCTCCGGTGTGATTTTTCTCTGCTGATCAGTTTACTGGGTTTTAATTTGAAAACCATTTTACTGCTGCAGAACTCATACTTTTCTCAGCCAGCCTACCAGCCTGTCTGTGCAGAAATGCCAAATAAAACTGATTTAATTCTGCTGTGATCTTGTCAATTTAACCTTTTGACAGCGTTAAATTTACGGTTTCAAACAGGCTCAAAACCAAAAACAAGCCATTTGGTTCCAGGTCATATAAAAAGTACTCTTTTACACTTTTTTTGTTGCTTTTAAAAATCAATCAGCATAATTTGACTTTTTTGAACAAAACCATTTTTTAAATCAAAACAATGTTTAATGTCCAAGTAAAAATGTTATATTAAATAATAAATAACATAAAATATGCGACTGCATAAATATTCACCACCTCCTCCATTAATCTGGAATGCCAGACACCCATAAGGTATGTTTCAGCCCCAGCTGCTTCAACACACGCCAGGGCTCAGCCTGTCATACTCCCAACGGCCCGCTGAAAGCCCAATAGAGCCTCTGCCCGATGCCAGTCCATCTGATGTAACAATGTGCCCAAAGTAAACGCGCTCACCAGAACCCCCCAAAACCCCAAACAATTCCTTCCTCCATGCCAAATACTTGAGGAAAGGTTATTGAAAAGTTGAAATCAGGAAGATACAAAATGATTTTCGAGGCACTGAACTTCCCCTGGTACATATGTGCTTAGATCAGATTGTCCTCAAGAACTGAGTGGCTCTGCAAGAAGGAGATGGTTAGAGGCCACCAGAGCACCTATGACTACTCTGGAGCTTGGAAATACAACTGTTGCCCGTCTTTTTTACCAATCAAAGCTTTTAACTATCACATCTATGCTAATGAAACTTATTTGAAACACACTCATGAGGCCTCACTTAGAACTGCAACCATGCATTTATTAATTCCAGACTGGACTGCATCCTTGACCCTTTAAAGGTGTCATCAGTCAGCCAAAGGGATATCCCTTCGGCTGACTGGTTAGTGCGAGTGACATTTGGCGTTGTTGGCAGGATCCATGTAGTACTCTGAAGTAGGTCCATGGATTTGGAATTTGTGGCACCCTGTGTGGGAGCACGAGGACATGCTTGTGGACAGAGAGGGGAAGGTGTGACTAGGTGACCATCCTGTCACTGTATCCCGATTGATGATGCTCCCTGGCTACTTGGCCACGGGGATATCCCTTTGGCCTACTGACTAACGTGTGTGACTCACCCAGGAGCCTGGGGATCAAATCTCGCCCAAGCCCTCACTTCTCCACCTTGCCACACTTGGATCACCTTCAGAAGGTGCAGAATGCTGCAGAATGGTTTTTGACTAACACAGACCGTCATAAACACAGCACAACTATTCTGGCTGATATACTGTACATTGGTTCCCGGTTCTCTTTTAAGTTCAATTCAAAATTTTAGTCTGACTAAAACATTCTTTATTACCAGGGCTCCCTCCTACCTTTCTGATCTAACCATTCCTTATATGCCATCGCGATCTCCAAGGTAAGCTGACCACCTGCTTTTGTTGAAACTCAGGATACGCTTTGAATCTCATGGGGAGAAGGCATTTTCTTTTGCTGCCTCAAAACTCTGGAATGAGCTTTCTGTAAATGTGAGGCTGGCCCCCCTTTTACTTCATTTTAAGTAACTTCTTAAAGTCCATTATTCTTTCCTTGCATTTTATAGTTGATTTTACTGTGCTGCCTTGTATTTTGCCCCATCTTTTAACTTTGTTGTATTCTGTTTTTATGTTCAATACTTTGATCAGTTATCAGGCAGTTTTTAAATGTGCTTTGTAAGTTTGTGTGGTATGGTATGGTATGGTGTGGTGTATTGTGGTGTGGTATGGTATGGTGTGGTGTGATGTATTGTGTGGTATGTATGGTATGGTATGGTGTGGTATGGTGTGGTGTGATGTATTGTGTGGTATGGTATGGTGTGGTGTGATGTATTGTGTGGTATGTATGGTATGGTATGGTGTGGTGTGATGTATTGTGTGGTATGGTATGGTGTGGTGTGGTGTATTGTGGTATGGTATGGTGTATTGTGGTGTGGAGTGGTATGGTATGGTGTGGTGTGGTGTATTGTGGTGTGGTATGGTATGGTGTATTGTGGTGTGGTGTGGTATGGTATGGTATGGTGTTTGGTGGTGTGGTGTGGTGTATTGTGGTGTGGTATGGTATGGTATGGTGTTTTGTGGTGTGGTGTGGTGGATTGTGGTGTGGTATGGTATGGTGTTTTGTGGTGTGGTGTGGTAGTAACAACGAGAAAAGTTCTGCTGAAGAAAACTCAGCTACAGTTTTCTAAATGGTTTGTTGGAGACTCCATGGTTAAGTGGAAGGATGTTCTTTCATCCGATGAGACCAAAATTGGGCTTTTGCCCATCAGACGAGATCCTATGTTTGGGAGACATCGCCGTAAACACACCCTCCTCACTGTGAAGCACGGTGGTGGGCGTTTCTCCGCAGCAGGCCCTGGAAGGCTTGTAAAAGATGACACAGCAAATATAGAAAATCCACAAGAGAACATGAGGTTGGAAGATTACACAAAAACAGTCTGAAATTATGACGTGCATATTCTGAGTGAGTCAAACCAAAATTCATTCTGAATGAAAATTTGTGGCTGGACTTGAAAACATCTGTTCACACGATCACTGTGCGGTCTGACACCTTGAATAGTTTTGCCAGGAAAAATTGCAGTGTCCAGGATTGTGAACCTGATTGACACCCGTCCACATACTCTACGCAGCCAAATGTCGATCTACTATACTGACTAGAAATGGGTCCCAACTGGGGCCAATTTCAAACATCTGATATTTTCAAGGAAATCTGAAGAATTTGGAGGAAAATCCTTTTTGTGCTAATTGCAGTAATGTAATATGATAAACACCAAAGAGCTCTCGTCATGAGTCAAACACAAAGTTCTGGAGAAACCGAGCTAAGTCACATTTAGAAATGATAAAAAGTATCTGAAAACTGTCCAAGCATTTAAATACGATGAGACACAAACTCAAAAACAGGGGCGGTTCTAGACCAAATTTTCCAGGGGGGCCACAGTGGGGCCAGTATTTTTTCATGGGGGCGCAAGAAAAAAAATTCATAATAAAAGACAATGAACAAGTAAACTATTTCGGCGAATGCAGTAATGGTTTACTTGTGAAAGTAAAACTGGCATGTCTTTATGGTACTCAGATAACAATTCTGAATGCTTCACTGCAACATGAGACTTGAGTAAAAAAACAATTCTAGTCAGTTATTATAGTTTGTGACTTTATTTGAAGATTAAATGAACTGTACATATGAAAAATAAACATTCAAACAAAACAAATATCTGCGCAATACAATTTGCCTTTGGTAGTCAACACACACACACACACACACACATAAGCAAAATCACTTCACCAATTGTTTTGATATACTCACGATTTTCTTTAACCTTTTTACTGTGTTCCTTGTCGAGTATATTAGCCAATGTTGTATTAGCTTTCACAGCCCTCTGGTAGTCCCTCCACGCTATCATTGAGTGCATTTACATGCAGCCAATAACCCTTTTAAAACCAGAATATTCACAATAACCCGGTTCCGCAGGTCCGTGTAAACACCGCCAAAAACCCGGATATGCTCATAACCGGGTTTTTAAAAACACGGTTACTACACCTGGGGTAACCCTTTTCTAACCCGAATGTTTGGTCGTGTAAACGCATATCAGGATATCCCCATCAAAGCGTGTGTTCTGCGCTTGCTCTGTTCGCAAGGAATCCTGGTCTTTTGAGTAGCGAGACGTCTTGTATGCGCCAGAACACCGGAAGTAAACAACAAGTTGGGAGCAACATGGCGAGTCGCAGCACAGCTCCACACTTTTGGAGTGACGAGGAAACTAAAGCGCAAACAAATGCGGTCGCTATCTCTTCCGAACTGGGAAACATGTTGTTGTTTTCACGGATACCAGAACAAGAAGAACCGGAAATGACGCATATTGCGTCTGGACGTAGTCCATACGTCCTGACGCTACCCCAACGTCCGCATTTAAATCGGGTTATGCAAATTAGGGGTAACTTTTTCTATTTATGCTTGTAAACGGGTTATCCTGATGAACTCAGAAACCCGAATACCGACCTTAACCCGATCATAACCCGGATATTGGCTGCATGTAAACGTAGTCATTGAATCCTTATGCCTTTCAGACTTTGCATGTACTGAAAACCCCTCCTCTCTCAGTTGCTTTTTTCCAGTTCCTAAATCCACATTGAGAGTCAAACACACTTCCTGCGCTACTTGGTGGGCTAAAATGTCTGCATGCATGACAATAAGTAGAGTCCATTGAAACCGAATATTCGACCCAGGGATGACTTTCATACCAGCTTGGCTGAAAGCTGCGTCTTCTGTCTCCTATTAATGTCACTGGAAATGTCCTCAAATGATGCTGAGTAGGTGGGTCATCCTTGCACTTGCTGATATCTGAAAGAAAATAAATGTTAGCATGAGGATAAAAGTCATGATTAGTTAATTCAGAGTCTTATTTCATCTACTTATTAAATATAAACAACAGAAATTTTGGTCCAGAGTCAGCATGCCTCAAATGCATTTTACACACAATATGAGCTGCAATCACAGAGGGGTTTGTTCAACACCCACAAACCTGACGGTAGTGTACACGGTGCACATGACAGAAGATGTCCCTCTTTTAGCTCCTCACTCTCTCCCTCACAGCCTACATCTTCCTCCTCCTCACTCTCAGGGTGGACAGCCTCTGACCTCTCTGGTTCCTCTCCAACCAACTCTTCCTTCTCTCTTTCATCCTGCTTCTCAGCTCCCTCGTGACTTTCATCCTCTCTCTGTCTACGCTGTTCTTTACTAACAGCAGTAAAAAAGGACAAAATGTCCCTTTTTCTTTTCATGGCCGCTGATGCTTCCAGTCAGTGCTGCGAGAAAGTCATAGATAAATGAATACTGTGATCCAATCTCAACATGTCTAAGGCTTAAAGTGCAGCAACTTCATTTTATTTTACAGTTAATGTTACAAAGGAAAAATAAATCAGTATTAACTGTGGATAGACTCAGTTAGGAACTTAAAAGTAAATGACAGAAACGCGCGACTACGATCAAAACATTGATGTCAGGAAAATAAACTGTATTGCTTACCTTCGTCTCTTAGCGTCTTTTCAGTTTGGCGTCCTCAAGAACTTCTTCGGGTCCTATTAAAACTATTTTTAATCTTTTATTCAAAAATCCACCACGTAAACAGTTCTGTCCACAGTGTGTGCTGCGCTTTAAAGGCTCCGTGTGAAACGCTGCAGCGCATTAGCTTCCGTCTCCGAGGCAGCGCGGGGAAAAAAAATCAGATCTCTTCAGCACAGGGGCCATAACAGGGGCCAGGGCCAGTTCTACAGGGGCCCAGGCCCCTGTGGGCCCCCGTTTAAAACCGCCATTGCTCAAAAACATCGTCTTAAGAAGATAATACAACGCAAACCAACCACCATTTAAAAATATGTATTCATATAAACTTGTGCTAGTTTGTGCAAAGTGTGCAAATGCTGAAATAGGTGATAGGACCTTTAAAAGGATTATGCACATTAAAAAAATGATGAAAATGTAATATATTTATTTAACTGAACAGCAAATGTGAGGAAATGAAAGCATAAAATAACTTTTTGAAAGATTTTAGGATTTATGAATCACATAAAAACCTAAATATTGTGATGAATCCTTCTCCTCTGCAGGTAGCTGTCAAACATCTCGAAAGTCATGTTTTAGTATTAATGAAAAGCCTTTATCAAATTGTAATGATGCCTCCAGGATGAAACATCAGGGGTTTGGCCATTTTTTTCCACATTCTAGAAAAACTAGTAGGTTTCAGAGATCATGTGGACTGATCTGATGGCTTCAAACATCTTCTAATCGTTTAGAGCTAAGTGAGGAAACGAAGAAGGAAAATATTACTGCAGGAAAGGGTTGTGACATGAAAAACATTTACAAAAGCTTTCCTTAAAGCAGAAAATATCAGGTTTTTGTCATTTGACATTTTTGTTAACAGAGTAAACCAAACTTAACAGTAAAACATGGCAGAGGTCTAATCATGCTTACATGTAGTGTTAAAACGCAAAAATAATTAACCGTATATAAAAGAACATCTGCATGGTGTGCTTTAATTATGGTAGATAGTTAAATCCTCTTGTACTGTACTGCTAGTCTACAATGGAAAACAGACTTTTGTTAGATGTCTGACAAACTTAGAATGTACACACACACGATATATATACATAGAGAGAGAGAGAGAGAGAGAGAGAGAGAGAGAGAGAGAGAGAGAGAGAGAGAGAGAGAGAGTGACTGACTGACTGACTGACTGACTGACTATTTTATTCAGACCTTCAATCCTGGTTATCACCCTCATTAATCTATAACCCGTGTGTTTCCACTTTATACCAGGATTCAAAATCTGATTGTGTTTTGCCCGTGCGTTGATTTAAAAATCCCCGACATTTTACGCCGGAAGTGATGGACAGATCTGGCAACCTATGCTTAAGGCAGCGTGGAGTGTTTGATGATTTCCCCGCACCATTGAACCAGTACTTGAATCAAATCTGCACGTTTGCGTCACATCTGAACGCACCTGATACGCCAGAAACAACGTGACCATCGTTTCACGACTCCTTTATCTGCAAAACACACACAGACTCAGATTTAGTCGATGCAATCGCACAGAAGAGTGAATTTTATCCTCATCTCCATCCTTTCAACGCTGCTTTAAAATAGCTGTATCGTGGGTTTAAAAAAGAACATTTTAAATGCTTTGAACTTATTATCTGTATTTCCTCTGTATTCTGTGTCTGGATGAAATTAGTGAGGAAACCTTATGATGTGCTGACCAGCACGGTTGAGAAGATGAACTCTCTCAACCCCGATGCGTGTTTCTGATTGGACCAATTCGCTTCAGGGGGAACGACGCTTTACGTCAACAAACTAAACACAATCTGACCTGGAGTCAATTATCATTAAACATATGACGCACTTCTATGAAACACGGCATTGGTTTCTTGAGACTGTTTAATTTTTCACCCATTCAACTCCCGACTGCTTATTGTGCGCATGCGCGGCGAAACTAACGTTGAGAGAAAACGTTTACATCAGAGAGATGAACAACAGGAAGAGGTCTCACTCGGTCTTAACTTTTGGTTGCAATAAATATGAACTCAAGTTGAAATGTTTAGTGAAACATTTAGACTAATTCCAGTTATTTCTAACTTGCCTTTGTAGTATTCAACATTACCCCTCCTCCTAATTTTTGGTAAATGAACAATGCGTAATCTCTTAAATTCTTGCTCGAACACATGACTAAAAACCTCCCAGTATGAAGAGCATGGAGAGAGTGCTGCAACACATCAAGGCTAACCCTAACCTGCCCACAACACCAACACTATCATTAAATTTGCTGATAATACCACCATGGTGGGCCCAATGAGCCAGGGAAATGAGTCAGCGTACAGGACAGAAGTGCAGCAGCTGGTGGACTGGTGGACAGCTAACAACCTGACTCTGAACACCAACAAAACCAAAGAAATCATCATTGGTGGAGCATCAGTCACTCACAGTAAATGGGGAACAGGTGGAGAGGGTGTTCCTGGGCACAAACATAACAGAGGACCTCACATGGACACACAACACCAAATGTCTGATATAGAAGGCACAACAATGATTATGAATCCTGAGGGCTCTCGGGAAGATCAAACTGCCACAAAAACTGCTGGTGTGGTTTTGTCACTGCTCTGTAGAGAGCGTTCTGACCAACAACATTCTGGTGTGGTACAGCAGCAACTCTGCAGCTGACAGGAAGGCCCTGCAGAGAATAATCAAAACTGCAGAGAACATAACAAGCACACACCTGCCTGCCCTGATGACATCTTCACCACTCGCTGCCTTCAAAAAACCACACTCTAAAGGACTCAACCCACCTTGTTAACCATCTCTTCAGACTTCTTCTGTCTGGTAAATGATACAAGGCAACAAAAACACACCACCAGGCCGTTAAACAGCTTTTATGTAAAAGCCATCACTGAACTGAATGTTGCTGCTAGGAGGCTGCACTAACAGTAGTTCTGCTGGATAATTAGTGCACTACAGCACCTTTACATTAAGCTAGTTAACCCAGATTCCTCAACCTGTGACTGTTTACATTTATATTATGTTAATTTTATAGCCATCCATCCTCTGTACCCGCATATCCATGCAGGGTTGTGGAAGGCGGGTGTCTATCTCCAGCATTCTTCGGCCATGCAGACGGGGTGCACTCATTTTCTGCTCGATTTGCAACTACACTGCTCACAAAAATTAAAGGAACACTTTAAAGAAACACATTAGATAGATCAGATCTCAATATGAAGTTGGATATCTATACAAATAACGACAGGGCAATGTCTTAGGAACAAAAGGATGCCAAGTCTTTTAATGGAAATAAAAGTTATCAGCCTACAGAGGGCTCAACTGTGTAGACACCCTAAAATCGGAGTGAAATGAAGATGTGGCAGGCCAGTCCATTATTTCAAAAACTTAATTTCTGCAACTCAAATTGCTTTTCAGTATCTTGTGTGGCCCCCACGAGCTTGTGTGCATGCTTGACAACGTCGGGGCATGCTCCTAATGAGACAACAGATGGTGTCTTGTGGCATTTCCTCCCAGATCTGTGTGAGGGCATCCCTGAGCTCTTGTACAGTCTGAGGAGCAACCTGGCACCGCCTAATGGACCAAAACATAATGTCCCACAGATGTTCTACTGGGTTTAAGTCAGGGGATCGTGAAGGCCATTCAATTGTTTCAATTCCTTCATCTTCCAGGTACTGCCTGCATACTCTTGCCACATGAGGCCGGGCATTGTCGTGAATTAGGAGAAAACCAGGACCTACTGCATCAGCGTAGGGTCTGACAACGGGTACAAAGATTTCATCTCGATACCTTATGGCAGTCAGAGCACCATTTCCTAGGCAGTAGAGGTCTGTGCGTCCCTCCATGGATATGCCTCCCCAGACCATCACTGACCCACCACCAAACCTGTCGTGATGAACGACGTTGCAGGCAGCATAACGTTCTCCTTGTCTTCTCCAGACCCTTTCACGTCTATCACAGGTGCTCAGGGTGAAACCGCTATCATCTGTAAAAGTACAGGGCACCAGTGGCGGACTTGCCAATTCTGGTGTTCTTGAGCAAATGCCAGTCGAGCTCTACGGTGCTGGGCAGTGAGCACAGGGCCCACTACAGGGTGCTGGGCCCTCAGGCCATCTTCATGAAGTCTGTTCCTGATTGTCTGGGTAGAGACATTCACACCAGTGGCCCTCTGGAGGTCATTCTGTAGGGCACGAGTAGTGCTCAGCCTGTTCGACCTTGCACAAAGGAGCAGGTATCGGTCCTGCTGGTGGGTTGTGGACCTTCTACTGCCCTGTCCAGCTCTCCGAGAATAACCGCCAGACTCCTGAAATCTCCTCTATGTTCTGGAGATTGTGCTGGGAGACACGTTAAACCTTCTTGCTGCATTAAGTGTGGATGTGCCATCCTGGAGAAGTTGGACAGCCTGTGCAACTTCTGTAGGGTTAAGGAATTGCCTCATACTGCCAGTAGAGAGCTAAAACTAGCACGAGTGGAAAACCAGCAGAAAAAGTTCAAGAGGGAGAAACTTGAAATGACCTCTACATGTTAAACCAGTCCTGTTTTGAGGGTTTTGTAATTGTTGCCATTTTAGTGCACCTGTCGTTAAGTCCATGAAAACCAATACAGCTGAAAGTGATCAACAATGCCCTCAGCTGCTTAATCAACCAGGAAATTATCAGACATGTTTAATTGATTTCATGCCAGGCCCAATAAAAAAAGTGTTCCTTTAATTCTTGTGAGCATTGTAGTTATAAAAGCAGAACTTACAGAGAGGTCCGATTGCTGATTAAATGTTAAAACGGCTTGCCCTATAAACACACTCTCCCTTTGTGTCCAGCTTCCACTTATTTCATCACCTTTCTGATGCGCCGTTTATTTAGTTTTTGTGCTCTTTTACAGATTTGTCCCCAACAATATTTACAGTTCCCACCTTGTTTATGTTTCACATGACGTACCACCCATTCCCTCCTTTCACAGAGATTGGAGGTATGAGCTGCGCTGTCAGAAGGGAGGCACGTGCGTGCGTCAATTTTTGCCATTTGTATCATTGTAATTTACACGGGAGTCTAAATGCTCTCATACGTGAACTTAAATGATGCAGGTGGTTTCTGAAGCTCCTCTCCTCCTTCGCCATGACCACAGCTGTGCATTTCTCCTTTGGATGGAACAGATAGCGCCTCCATCCTCCACATGACCGATCCGTGGAGAGAGATCCGTACGGATCAAAGATGATTTGTTACACCCCTAGCCACAAGAGTCTCCAAGAAGAGCCAGCCAGGGTGGGGATGGGGAGGGCTTTAGCAGTCTTTCGTCACACTGTTGCAGAACCGCTCTCTCAGTTCAGCAGGCAACACCTCCTTGTGGTGCAATTTTCAAACAGGAAATGTGGGTGGAGTAAGACTCTGGTGGGGAGGGGGTGACAACTGACTCTTTTATGACAAAACCCTGAAATCGGTCTTTGTCCGACACGTGACCTCCCATTCAACCACACACCCCTGGCGCCATTCTTGGGTGAATGACTTGCGTTGCTAGGTGAAGCCAGAGCCTAAGTTGAAGCAGCATGCGAGTCAAAAGGTTGGATAAAATTATTAAAGACAAACATAACAGGGATAAACTTGTAAAGTAAGCTGGAGATTGGTATTTTCTAAACTTGTCTACACCTGAAATGATAGATCCCTTATACTCAAAGGAAACAAATGCAGCTCACACGTTTCATTACCGCCAAAAATATATCACTTGAGTAAGCGTTGCACTTAAATATTATAATGAAGTTACAGTAAAAAGTAGTCATCCAAAAACATTACTCCATGTTTAAATAAAGTTTTGTTTTTACTAAAAACACTTCTTGAGTACTGAGTAGATCTAATAATTTTCTAATTATGTCAATGTAATGTAGACAAGGCCTCAATGGCATTTGGCATGGGGATCTTTCAGCGTCATCCCGAGTGCCGGTGCCCACTTCCAATTTTAAACTGCACTTAGACACTGAGGGCTGTGGGGGGAAGTGGGGTTGTGTGGTGGCATCAGCTGGCGTAGGCCAGACGATGCCCGCACTGCCCGCTCACCACAGCCATGGAATACACCTCATCAACACGCACCAACACTGTATTGGAGCAGGCGGACGGAGACTAGGGGTCTTAGCACACCTCTGTTGTCGCTTGGCTTCCTGGGGCTGGAGGCTAGGAGGGAGATCTGGCCGTCTGATTTGGGGTCTGCGGTGGTGGGTTGCTTTGCCCAGCGTTGGGCAGGGGTGCGTGCTCATCAGCACCCCAGCAGAAACTCTGGTGACCAGTGATGGTTGTACCCCTTGTGCAGCAGTGCCGGGTGCAAAGTGAATAGGGTGTGTATGGGGAGCACGAGTGGGTGTCTAACGTTCACTTTTGTGAGTCTTAGATTGTATGTGTGTGTGTGAGCATGAGGGAGGGAGTGTGTTTGTGTATGACTGTATATGTCAGGTGGGGTATTGGACTCCTCCCCTCTCCTGGGACTTCTTGTGCTGCTACACATCTTTGCCTGCCCTCCCTCGGTCACACTAGGTGTGGAGTGTGGTGCCTTGGTCTGCCTGAGTGTTCGCGGCTCTCGGGTCAGGGAGTTTAAGATTTTTGGAGACTGCCTGATCGATCCCGGTGGCTGCCTGCTGGGATCTGAGTCCCTGGGCTCTGTTGGGTCCCCGGTGGGCTTTTCGCCCCTGGGTCCCGGGTTGCTGGGTTCCGGGCTTGGCCGGCTTGGGGGTGGGAGGCTGCGGGCGGGCCTGTGGGCTTGCCGCTGATATCTCCCAGGACTCTGCCGGCTGCTGGTTGCGGTCCCCCGGGGCAATCCTTTGCGCCTCTCGAGAGGGGGCGGGGGCTTCTCTGGTTACAGTCTCCCTGGGGTCTCTGCGCTCTGGGGCAGCTCCTGGATTTCTGGAGCTTGGAGCTCCCTCCATCTCCTACACATCTTTCGAGGGCAGATCTGTGGCCCCTCACACTCTCTATTGGACGCTCCTATAGAGAAACCTTACATAAATAAGAGCATGTACACACACAGGTGCTCACATGGTGCTCTCATAAGTATGGACTTGGGTATTTTCAACACATGTCTTAAGGCTGTGGTTGGCACTAAATGCACTGTGATTTATTATGGTGTGAGTGTTCAGTTAAACAATGTTGATTTTATATTTCATCATCAGGTTGACGCAGTGATAGCTTGCTCCTGTTGTATTGTTGTGTGTTGTTGTTCTCTTTCTGCAGGTCTAGAAGCAGACTCTTGTTCATCATTGATTGTTTATTTTTGTGGAACCTCCCCCTCCTATTTTATCACTGCTATTGTTTTTCAGATGTTTTTATTGGTTAGAGGTATTTGCCCTGATCTTTATCATGTTGTACAGCGCTTTGTGATTTATATCTGTGAAAGGCGCTATATAAATAAACTTTTACTTACTTACTTACTTACCTTTGTCTCTTCCTTTCTCTTTCACCTCTGTCTCCGTGTCTGGTCGGAATTAAAAAGCATTCAAAAACAACAACAATAAAGTTTTAAGTATCAGGCATGACATTAAAGCAGACACTTTGATGCTCCACCTGAGAGTAAATCCATAAGGCTTGTCACCAGCATTCAGACATAAATTCTGTTTGCTTGACAGCCAGAAAGGACACGGGGGAAAAAAAACGTAGACAAGGCTTGCCTCATCAGTGTGCCACCCATGACAGCGGTGGTGTGATGACACCCATGACTAGGAGAAAGCGATAATGAAAAATGTCCTGACTTATCGGGGCTGCAACTTCCAAGGTCCTGCAGGTGATGAGACTTTACTCTTTTAATAAAACTTTTCTTATTTTGTTTCATAAAACGCTTTCCCAACTTTACAAGTTATTTACAAAAATATTCTGTTCATCTAAAGTGTTTTAATAATGCCTGACTGGTTTACAGTGATGACTGACTCAACATAATTGTTTATTCTGGAAATAATGCTTTATTTCAGATACTAAATACACCCAATGAGTCTTATTTGTTGAATTTAATAACGACTTATTATCAGTATTCACATATTAATATTACTCTATATTGATAAATGAATGTTTAACAGAGTTACATCACTTTAGGTGGAATGAGCATCTTCTAAGTGTTTGAGGAAGGAGAGGTGTCTGAGAGATTCTGATAACGCCCACTATTACACGTTCTAGATTCTGGTTTGTCTAAATTGGTAAACAACCAATTTTATAAAAAAAGGCATCACTTCCTCAATGCTTTAGTTCTAGCCCACGGGCTGGTTAAGCCAACTGGGTCAGTAGCATAAGGAACCATCCTTTTCTCCAGCAGAGAGACAACTCATCAGATGTGAAACATCTCGCCAGCAGACCTGGGATGCATCTCACTGGCCAGTCGTGCAAATTCAAAGGAAGCTATGACCTTTGAGATTCCAGAAGTCAACTCATCTTGGCACTTGGCCCGACTCGACTTCCTTGCCAGCTGGACCTAACGAGAATTTCCATTACAAGGGAAATCGTTGTCTCACACCTGGCAGTAGGATGTATTTTTTATTATTAATTTGACAACTTGTTAAACTTCATTAAACATTCGTTCAGACTTATTTTACAACCCAGGCATCACAGTTTTCTAAGACACTTAATTGTTTTTTTTAACACACCATCTAAACTCATATTTCATCATTGGTCATTCTGTGTCTCAGTTGATATCACCTCAACTCATGAAGTAGTAGAAGTACAATATTAAATACATTTTTATAAACTATATTTTCACCTCTGAGTCAAATTATTATAAAGTGTTGTTTCCCTGGCTTAGCTAAATTACCTAATTTCATCATCAATTGAATATTAATGGCTCAATAATATTGATAATCCACATTTTTATTGAATGTTACATTTGATTGAATATTGACAATTTTTTTAAAAGTAACCACTTACACAACATTATATCATCTTTCAGACAAAACATATAAAGCCGTGGACAAATTATGCTATTTGCAAGACCGAAAAAACTGAAATTATACAAATAAATAACATAAAATAATACATTTTAAGCAAAAGAACAGCTTTTCTAAGTAAATTACTACCCACCTCTGCATTCAACTGCCCTCCATGTTTGGGAGATGGCAACTTCATATAGCCCATAAACGAACATTCTGTAGGGTCACTTACACAACTGTTTTACTTGCCTTTATGAAAATGCTGCAAGCAAACACGCATGAGAGGAGATGCGGTTTCGAAAGTTATGTCCTTCCATCCAAGAGCTGGAATTCAGGCGTCTCTTTGTTATTCTCCTATTTTGTGTCCAGAACCTCTTTTCCAAGCAGGAAAGCAAAAGAGTCTTGTGTCGTTTCTTGTAATTGTGTGACCTGGCGTGGCAGCCCTTCACACAAGTGTACCATTTTCTGCAGGTTTATAAGCTCGCAACACATAAAGCAACCAACGCTTCTGTTGTTTATCTACTTAGCTATCCCATCATGCAACAGCACCTGATATGTCATCTGTCAAAGACAGATGGCTCATTCTGGAGGCTACTGAAACTGTCAAGAATAAAACTGATGAAATGCGAGAGGCATTTTGTCTAAATAAATTCATAAACATGTTGGGTATTGGAAATATAACTATTTTAAATTTTAAGTCATAATATGTCCCCTTTAAAGGACAAACCAAAGAGGATAGTTCACATTTAGATATCTGAAACGGTGAAGCGTCAGTGCTCAACTTTATAGACGATCTTTGGACGGCAAGCCGAGAGTTGCGTTGTGTGCGCATGCGCACAAGGGGATTAATGTCAAGGCACAAAAGTGGCGCTACAACGCTTCGAGCTCTACTCCGGTAAGCGAATTTCACAGTCGGTTTTTATCCTCCACGTTCACGCTTAATTGGTCAAAGTTTGGGAAACTTGAGCGGGACACAGGCCCGGATTCCCGGTCCGCCCCTCCGCAGCCACAGCCGGCAGAGGAGCGACACTAAGGAATCATTAAAGAGTTGATTTTAACAGCTTTCGTCTCCTGCTCCGCTCGCTGTGGCCGTTGCCGCCTCCAGTCTCCAGTATTGTTCCGTTGGTTCCCTAATGGCGGACGGCAGGCAGTGCTGTTTTCCGCTGGGGGAGGTGGGAGGTGTGTGGAGAGGGTGGGAGGGAGGGGGCAGATTTTATCTCCCGTTGACTAATGAGGTACACCTGGTTTACCGAGACAGACACAAACACCGGGGCAGGTACGACGCCGGGATTAATTGGGCTATCGCTGTTTACCAGCTCAGGGCACAAATTAAGGCATTTCATGTAAGGGAAGGGCGCCCCTAGCGGTGGTCGGGTATTTTTGCCACTGATTGCGCCAGGAGTGGACTACGTGCCGGGTAACTTTCCAATTAAAACCCCAGCTTCACAGGTATCAAATATTCTGGTGCACTGGGTCATATTCAGGGTCTGTTTTAATTGGGCTTGCTTGTTTGCAACTAGACCCAGGAGGAGCAAACGTTATGGGCTGTAGAGTCTGAAACGCAGCCATAGGTAGGGAGTTGAGTTGAGAGTCACATTGTGTCATGTGTAGCATTTACCTCTAACATAATCGGTTTGAAGAAGTGCTGATCGTTTTGGGAGGCGTTTTAACAATGGCGCAGTCTGTGTCGGCTCTCCTCCCCTCGATCCGCCGCTAATCCAATGACTGTTTGCGCCAGGAAGAGCAGGGGTGGGAGCGGAACACCCTGAACCACGTTTCTCCTGGACCCCAACTTGGAAGCTAGCATTTCCTCCTCCCAGGGCTATTTATGGCAGAGTTTCCCTGCTCAGGTAGTTGTTTTTCTTGCCATTGGTCAAAGTTTTGTGCTCGCGCTCATCTCTGGATTCAAGGTGTGTTAAGGGGGGAGAGAGGAGAGATTATTTCTTGTGTCTGGAGCGGATTCTGTGGTCTATCTGAACAGTGGTAGCAATCAAGGACACGGCCCGGCTGTCCTCTGAACGCATCACGGTGCCTTCGAGGTTTGGAGGATTTTTGGGGACAGCTCATCAACTGAGCAGAGCAGGGTTTAGTTTTACCATTCTGCTGCCAGGTAACCAGAGCAGGTTTTCCTCCAGCCCATCAGTGGGTTTTGGGAGGATGTTCTGGTGGCTGCGCACCATATTCTCAGTGACATAATACTTATATAATAATCTCACGCTTTTAATTTGAATTCGGTGTCTGATCTCCACCACCGACGCTACAGCTGCAGACCTCCGCCATGTGACCTGCCGGAGGAAACGTCAGCTGAGCTGAAGGTATAGCCTGGTGGTGGTGGGAAGGTGGTGGAGCACCTACATCCGAGGTGATGTGGCGCAGGCGCTGATGAGGAGTTTGATGCAGGGAGGCGGTCCCTCCGTCCACAGCGCCAGCCTACCTTTGCGTCCACCTGGTGTTGACGTTGGGGGCAAGGTTGCATGTCAGAGCTCATTACTGCTGGATGCTCGTTTCCTCTCATCTGCTCGAATGCAGGCTGTCTCACATCTCTGCAATGCAGTCTGTTTATTCCCCTCATAGCACGCTGCTTTACTCCTCTGTTGATGTGCAAGCAGGCCAGCACGCTGTGATGCATCATGTTTTTGCAGCAAATGTTGCAACTGACCGTATTATACCACCAGTTGCCATGGCAGTTGCACACAGATGTGTTTCACCTTCACAGGTGTGGTCTGACACTGCAGTCATTGGAGAATGAGGTGGACTTCCAGCCCAGAAACGACGTCCTGGTTTAGTGTTTTTGCTGCTGCTTCCTGTCACATGACCAGAGTCGTCTTCATTCAGCATCAGTGTTTTTAAAGCTGATTCTGATCAAGAACAGTCACAATCTTTTCTGTGGGCTTAAAACTCTATATTCTTTTGTCCCTTTGTTCCACTTATTGGTTTCTCACAGAACATGTGAGCATACATTCTCATTTCTAGATTTTAATGGCAGTATACAAAGTCGTTTCCTGGTTTAAACATGTTTAAAAAACAGTTTTGACAGATTTGCTCTTCCTAATGTTGTGGAGGTCATGTTTGACCCATCTTGCACTTTTTAAATTCAGTAAGTTTGAGTCAAAGTGGGAGAAATGGGAGACAACGCTGGCAGTGGTTGGTGACCAAGATGTTAATGAAAAAGAGAGTAACCAGCTGAATCTCAGATATTTTGAACAATCTGTTGCTAACTGGCAAAAAAGTTTTGCATCCCATTTTCTATTTCTTTTGTGAATGAGCAATTCCCTCTCACAGCCATATTTATCTCATAAGCAGCAGTGGCAATTATAATTACCCTGGATTTACAGAATACCAAATAACAGTTTTTCTTAATTTATGGTTATTTTTGTTAAAACAATTTGTGTGTTTGTGAAGATTTTCCTAATATTTGTCTAACATGGACACACTGTGAAATGAAAGATTAATTCCAAGGACATACAGATATTAGGGGGCAGCAGTAGCTCAGGTGGTAGAGCGGGTTGCCTCATGATCGGTCATGGGTTCGATTCCAGCTCCCGCCAGGGGTATCCTGCTGTTGTGTCCTTGGGCAAGACACTCCACCCAACTTGCCTGTGTTAGTGGTGGTCAGAGGGGCCGACGGCGCCAAATGGCAGCCTCGCCCCTGTCAGACCTCCCCAGGGCGGCTGTGGCTACAAGTAGCTTACCATCACTAGCAGTGTGTGAATGTGAGAGTGTGTGAAAGCGTCTTTGGGTGTCTAGAAAAGCGCTATATAAGTTCAATGCATTATTATTATTATTGTTATTATTATTATACATAATAGTTTAAATTGTGTGGCAGTAAATGGACAGATATGAGCTTCAGACCTGCATCCTTGGATGTTTTGGAACTTTTTAGCATGTAATTTTATTTCCTCATAAAAAATACCCCCAAACCCCTTTTTGGCTGCATTTGTGTGAATTAGACCAAATTCTTGCATGGCAAAGTTTGGTCTAGGAATGCTCCATTGGAACATCCACACCCCCTAGCGGCATTCTGGCTGGCCAGTCACAACTTTCTATAACCATTGTGGACCAATCACAGCGCTTTATCCACTTTGTGGGCTAATCAGGACCCTCTATTTGTGGAATGGTGCAACAAAGTGGAACAAGATGGCAGCAGCTCGTTTGAAACAGCTTTGGCATCAATTTTGTATTATTTGGACTTTATTAGAATCAGGAGCAGATTTATTTAAGTCCTTTTATTCAGGATAAAAAGGATGTATTGTCACCTTCTTCAACAGCAGACTGCCTCTTTTACCAACGTTTGTTGCGGTGAGTTCTTCACGTTGTTCATTGTCCAGTAGCATGCCAAGATCGTTTGAAAGACAATGGTAGAACCCGCCCCCCGACTGAGAGCTATCAATGGAGTGTTTTCCTGTTTCAGTTGTAAATTTTGAATTTAATTTTGAAATTCCTGAATTGGCCTAATGTATAAGTTGTACATTACTCCCAACATCAGGCCCTGCTCCTCCCCCCGGAAGCTAGTTTCTGATCTGACCAAGGACCTGCCTTACACACATTTTGGACATGGAGAGCACCTGCAGTGCTGCTGCTGAGAAGGATAACATTTTGAAATCCTGCAGTATTATCACTTGTACTGGGGATCGAATCCTGATTGGACCATTTTTTTTAATATCTGCCACAGATCTCACAGAATTCACAACATTGACGGCTTCAGCAACGCTGTGCCACTCTGTGGATTTTCTCTTATTTGTTTTGCAAAAACACTTCCTTTCATTTTTTCCACCTCACCTACAGTTACCTCAATTTCTGCTTCTGTAAAATTGCTCTGCCTTGATCTATGGTCGCCATCGTCATTGGTGGAGCGCTGCAACAGTCGGCTTATGAATATGCATGAGATCCACAAGGCACTTCGCATTGAATATTTATGGCAGAAAGTGGGCGTGGGGAGGGCGGGATGTGACTAAAATGCAGCTGAGAAACATTCTCGTTAGTCTCCGATTAATGAAGCGGAGATTGCGTGCAGCTGTGTGTACTCCATGTTGTATAGATCACAAACCTACTTGGCGTAAGTACATTTTTTCTGCTGAGCTTAAGTACGATTTTAGTAAGGATTCTACGCAATGTTTGATAAATGAGAGCCCAGGTCTTTAGGGCCTTACATGGACCAGCACAACTATACATCGGTGATCTTCTCAGTCCCTACACCCCCAGCAGGTCCCTGAGGTCCAGTGGTCAAAGCCTACTGGTTTTGCAGCACCAGGCTAAAGACCAAAGGTGACAGATCATTTGCTGCTGTGGCCCCCAGACTCTGGACCTCTCTCCCCCTGAGCCTGAGATCAGTGGTCTCCTTTTAGCCTGGCAAGCCAGACTAAATATAAATATATTATTTAGTCTGGTAATGCTTCATTGATGGCTCTCGGTCGTGGGGCGGGTTCTACCGTTGTCTTTCAAAGGGTCTCCACATGCTAGTTGACAATGAACAACGCAAAGTACTCATAGCAACGGATGTCGGTAAACGAGGCGGTCCGCTGTTGAATAAGGTAAAAATACATCCTTTTTCAAAAGAAATAACTTAAATACATCTATCTGCTCCTGATTCTAATAAAGCCCAAGCCCAAATAGTCCAAAACTGATGTAAAAGCCATTTCAAAATAGCTGTCGCCATCTTGTTCCACTCCGTTGCATCACCCTGCCCACCAGACAAATGGAGGGCCTTGATTGGCCCACAAAGCGAATAAAACGCTGTGATTGGTTCACAAAGCAGAGTGCTGTGATTGGACCACCATTAAGGACCAATCACAGCTCTGTTTGAAACCCATCTAGAGAGCTGTGATTGGCCAGCCAGAATGCTGCTAAGGGCTGTGGAGGTTCCAATGGAGCGTTCCTAGACCAAACTTTGCAAAGCAAGAATTTGGTCTAGTTCACTAGGCTAGTCTCCTTTAAGAAGTAGCTGAAAACTCACCTGTTCAGGCTGGCTTTGGTGTGACCTTAATCAGCACCCTCTCCTTATTCTGCTCTTTCTACCTTTTCTGCCTTTCCCGTGATCCACTGATTTCTCTTTCCTATGAATTTTTTCACTCCCTTCCCTTACATTTTTAATCACTATTTTTCATATTTATTCTCTTTTTAAACACATTTTTAATCATTGTTTGAAATCTGTTTTTACTTTTTATTTTTTTGTTTGTTTTTGTGAAGCGCCTTGTTGTTTTTATCTTGAGGGGCGCTATATAAAAGATTGTTTTCTTTCTTAAAGTTAGCCAGAGAAGTGGGGAGCAGAAACAAGCAGGTTTTGGAGTCTTATTTCCTGATATGCCCACATCTATTCTCTGATTGGCTAACAGCAGCATGACTCTACCACTAGCTCTGTTTGTATTGAAATGTTGATGTTTTATCTTCACAAACAGCACAAGCATGAAGGAGTTCTGCCATGTTGTGGAGTTGCTAATGCTAACAGTAAGCTTCTACTAGCCGAAACCAACAACAGCCTCCCCCGTTGCAAGCCAAGATGGTTGAGTTTGTGAATGCTAATTATCAGTGTGAGCTAGATCATTCAGGATTGTCAGACCCAAGTGTTTCCTTGTCTATTTTCTATCAGGAGCTAATGCAGGAGATAAGGGTTCAAGACTATGGGCAGCAGTAGCTCAGGAGGTTGAGCGGGTTGTTCGATAATCGGAAGGTTGCAGGTTCGATCTCGGCTCCGGACAAAGAATTCTGCTGTTGTCGGCAGCCTCACCTCTGTCAGTGTGCCCCAGGACAGCTGATCCCCACCAGTGTGTGAATGTGTGTGTGAATAGATGAATGATTGTCAAAGATTGACCGATCATATAAAAAACAACGGTTTCTCAGTGAAATTGCTCTT